TATTTATATGGTAATTCAGGATTCTTTCAATTCCCTATTGATCTTGAAGACCAAGAAAAGACCACCTTAACTTGTCCTTATGATACATTTTCCTATCGAAGAATGTCATTTGAACTATGTAACGTTCCCGCAACATTCCAAAGATACATGATGTCAATCTTCACTGATTTTATAGACGACATCATGGAAGTATTTATGGACGATTTCTCTATTTATGGGAAAAGTTTTGAAAAATGCTTATCGAACCTAGAAATGGTACTTGAAAGATACGTAAAAGTAAATCTCGTGTTAAATTGGGAAAAATGCCATTTCATGGTCCGACAAGGAATCGTGCTTTGACACATAGTGTCTGATAAGGGGATTGAAGTTGATAAAGGTAAAATAGAAGTTATAGAAAACCTTCAACCTCCAAAAACTTTAAGAGAAATACAAAGTTTCTTAGGACACGTCGATTTCTACCGGCTAGTCATTAAAGATTTCTCTAAAATCACCAAACCACTAATTGGCTTATTAATGAAAGGCGTTGAATTCATCTTTGATGACAAATTCTTAAAAGCGTTCGAACAACTAAAATCATCTCTCATTACCGCACCTATTATGCAACCACATGATTGGAGATTACCATTTGAAATCATGTGTGATGCTAGCGATTATGCCATAGGCACAATCTTAGGAAAAAGAAAGGATAAAAATCTTCATGCAGTTTATTATGCAAGTAGAACCTTAGATCCTATGCATATGAACTACGCCACCACAGAAAAGGAACTTTTATTTGTCATGTTCGCTTTGGATAAATTTCGTTCTTACTTAGTAGGAGCAAAGATGATTATCTATATCGATCATGTCGCAATTAGGTATCTATTAAGTAAAAAGGACGCCAAACCCAGACTTCTAAGGTGGATTTTACTCCTACAAGAGTTTGATTTAGAAATCAAAGACAAGAGAGGGACTGAAAATGTAGTAGCTGATCACTTATCTAGAATGGAAGTATTAAGCATGAACGAGTGCCTATCAATGATGATTTCCCTTATGAACGACTCATAGCCCAGTTGGAAAATAATATAGTTAAATGCCCCATAACTTATAATGGTATCAAAACAAATGAAGTTGTGGAAACAATTTATTCAAAAAACACATTGCCATGGTATGCTGACTTTGTCAACTACTTAGCAGCTAGAGTGCTTCCACCAGATCTAACTTACCACTAAAAGAAGAAATTCTTCCATGATCTTAAACAATATTATTGGGATGAGCCTTTGCTTTTCAAGAGTGGCGCCGATGGTATCTTTTGTTGATGTGTCCCCGAAGAAGAAGTAGAAATTATAATTTCTCATTGTCATTCTCCCCCTTATGGAGGGCATGCAAGTACTTCAAAGACTTGCGCTAAGATCTTACAAGCTGGCCTCTTTTGGCCTACACTATGGAAAGATGTCCATATCGCGATCATAAATTTCCACTGGTGCTAACACACTGGCAACATCTCTAGACGCGACAAGATGCCACTAAAAGGAAATTTAGAAGTAGAAGTCTTTAACGTGTGGGGAATAGAGTTCATGGGACCATTTCCATCTTCTTTTGGTAACAAATGCATACTCGTTGTTGTTGATTATGTATCAAAATGGTTCGAAGTTGTTGCTTCTCCAACAAATGACGTACGAGTAGTAATTAAGCTCTTCAAGAATATAATTTTCCAAGATTCGGTGCGTCGAGACTTGTCATCAGTGTTGGTGGCTCCCATTTCATTTCAAAGATCTTTGAAAAACTATTACTGAAATATGGAGTCTGACACCATGTAGAAACACCATATCACCCACAAACAAGTGGGCAAGTAGAGTATCAAATAGAGAAATTAAGAAAATCTTAAAAAAACCGTTGCCACCTCTAGGAAAGATTGGTCTTCAATGTTACATGAAGCTCTGTGGGCATATAGGACAGCCTATAAGACCCACGCCATTTAAGCTAGTTCATGGTAAATCGTGTCATCTGCCGGTAGAATTAGAGTATAAAGCTTATTGATCCATTAAGACCCTTAATTTAAATTATATTGCCGTTGGCGAGAAGAGAATTCAGATATTCATGAACTAGAAGAACTTAGATTAGACGCATACGAGAATGCTCGGATCTATAAAGAAAGAACTAAAAAGTGGCATGACAAGCGTATATCGAGGAAAGAGTTTAATGAGGGTGATGTAGTACTTCTGTTTAATTCTCGACTTAAACTTTTCCCAAGTAAACTTTGTTCTAGGTGGTCCGGTTCCTTTGAAATTACCAAAGTTTTTCCAAATGGAGCAATGGAAATAAAGGGAAAATCTAGTGAACCATTTATCATAAACGGGCAGCACTTGAAACATTATCATTGTGTTGACAACAGAGACTATTTCACTAGTTTAGAGCTTAAAAAGCTGCCCACACATTCCCAAAATTAATCTTTTGGTAAAATTGTGTCAAGCTTACGACATTAAACAAAGCGCTTGGTGGGAGACAACCCACATTTTTAACTTTAATTTTGATTTTTCTCTTCTTATTCCTTACTAATTTCATTTCTGATTTCTTTTTCATAATGTTATGCAGTATTATTCTTTAGAATTAACCATTACTAACTTAGTGTCATTATCTACTTACTTTCAGGCTACTAACTTCTTAACTAACTTTAGAGATGGATAACGTAGATAATATGGCTATCACTTTTGGGAGCGGTGCCCAGAAGAGACGTTATGAGATTCTTTTTCAGAGAGTGATGGCACTGACCAAATATGTCGATGGCCCTACCATGACTGCTCTAGGTATTGAGGAAAGCATCTACTACATGTTAAACCAAATAGGATGGGAAGGTTTTATTAGGAAGAAATGCCCCCACTTACCATAAGTTGACCTTAGACTTCCTAAGCTCACTCACTTATGATCCTAACTTGGGGATGTGATTAAATAGGGGAAGAGCTTCTTTTAGACTATTTGGGTTTACCTTTCACCTGACCACCCATAAGATTTCAGAACTGTTAGGTTTTCCAAATGGTCTAAATGCTTTCACAGTGGCACAAGAGGATCTATTTATGGATATTGAACTCGACCACTTTTGGAGTCAAATTTCTGGCCAACATAATCATGAACCAAACCAGATGCAATCCACCCAAATCCATAACCATGATATCTGCTACTTCTACATGATCTTGGCCTTTACCTTTTTCAGAAAAGAGAAAAACAACACCTTAGTGTCTAGGGATGAACTTTTCATTATGTTATGTGGTTTCTAGTCTAGACTCGTAAATGGTGCAGCCTTCTTACTTGCTAACTTACAGAATATTGCATAAGCTACTCATGGCCCCATCTTGATCGATGGTGTTGTTTCTATGATTGCCACTATTGTAGCCCTAAGAACCCCACTTTCACGCCTAAACCCTTTAGGAGGCTATTTCCCAATGGACATCATTTTCTGTTTCAATACTAGACTAATCGAAAACATTGGTCCTAATGATTTTCAACTGCTAGTACACCATGAGCTTGTTCATCATTTTACATTTCCCAATATTTAGAAAATTAGTGTGTACGACAAAGATAACTGGTTTTATGATTTAGAAGGACAAGATGAAACTGACCCCGACTAAGACCCCTCCGCTTTACCATTATTTTCCACCCATAGAACCTACCACCCCTCTTGTTGCTTCCTAAGCTATTGCACCACCTCCGATTAATCACACTGCTGCAATCACTGCTTTATAGACAAATATTGCTAACATTAGAGGTGAGTTGAGCTCTTTGCACGTATATTTTTGCGGTTTTATGGACATTGTGACAGCGCAGCTAGATCATATTCATTAGCACATTTATTCTTCTACTCCTCTTACCGGTGGCCGTAATAGTGGCTAATACTTCTGGATAATACTATGTTTCCGACTCCAACATTTAAAAATGTGAGGACACTGTCTGTTTAAGTGTGGGGAAAGGAATGGCATTAATTTTAGGATTTCCCTGCTTTCCAATTAATTTTAGGATTTCTCTGTTTTCTAATTAGGAAATTTTCTTTACTGTTATCATATTTACATTGTTTTTGTTTCATGAACCAACTCAGCTACTATCTACATTATATCAGTATTCGATATTTTCTTTTGTTTTTCTGTTAATCTATTTTACCTTATTCTTAATTTGCATTACTTCTTGTTTTTTTTCTTAATGCTACTATATTAGTCAACAACAATAATGGTCCAATTAAATTTCATGCATAAAAGTGTGGTCCAATAATAATTCATGCAGATCAAATGAAACCACATGCAATTTCTTAGAACCACGAGAAAGAAGAAAAAAAAGATATTACTTGCAGCTTTTAATGCATCCCACACTTTCCACCATGCAACATGGCTACCGCCACCCTTCACCAATGCATGTGTGGTGACCGCCACACTTTCTTTTCATGCCTTCCACCCTTGAACTTTATAGTGGCACTCGCCACTTGCCTTGTGGCACCCTCCATACCTTCTAATAGTGGCCCCCACCATTTGTCTTTCCCTTGCATTGCATGCCAGCCACGTTAAATATTCATCTCTCTATGCATTTAGTTATTCCTTTGACCATAATAATATTCTACATTTACCACCATCAACACTCATTTATTTACCATTGTTTCATTCAACCCCTTTTCCACTACCACAATAAGTATCACTCATTGTTTATAACTTAGCACCAAATTCTCCATTCCAACGTTCATTTCTCAATATCCTCTTCTTACCACTACTCAAATTTTTACTCTTTAAATTATTATCATGGCCCAAAGGCAAGGATACAAAATAACATTCAGGAAGGGCATACATGGTGAAATGCAGAAATAACTCTGCATGGCTCTAAGCGACAGAGACATTGAACCAACAAAATATGTTGATGAACCTTGTCTAATAACTTTAGGGATTTCAAACAGTGTCAACCTTATGCTCGATACATTAAGTTTAAATTACTTTTTATCTTTTAAGGATCCTGTCCATGTCTAACTAACCCTTGAATTACTTAGTTCTATGATTTTTGAACCCACTCCTGACACTGACTGTTCATGTGGAATCGTTAATTTTCGCATGTTTAATGTTAGGTATGCATATACTTTTGACCAACTTGCTGATTTGCTACATTTTCCCCACGGAAATAAAATGGTATGCGAGGTTCCTTATACTGAGAGATGGAAGAATTATTTTCAACCATTTTGGAGAGCCATAACGGGTACAGTAACACATAGCTTTAAAGGCAACACAACCATAAGATATTTCAGCCAGCTCTTGGCCTGCACTATTTTTGGTCGGCCAAATTCTAACAAAGTGAATGAAAAAGAATTATTCTACCTGTTCACCACTTTTGTGCCCGAAAAGGTTAACATTGTTTCGTTCATGATATCTCACATGTTTGCAATAGTCACTGCGAAAAAGGGAGCAATAGTCTTTGGCGGATTAATAACCTCCATAGCTCGAGTCCTATGACTCGCAGAAAATTTTTCTACCATGACGCCACTCCTGTTGTGTGCAATAGATATTAATATGGTTAAGAGCATGAAATTAGTCAGACAATGACAAGGCGGTGATTTCGAATTAATGATCAATAATCGTGTTTTACCGAATTTCATTCTCCCAAACCCAGGCTGCATAGATGTGGGCAATTAGAGAAACTTTTGCTATATTGATGACCCAGTGCCAAACCCAGTCCCCGCACATATTCTTGAGAATGTAGCTATTGGCAGGGACATAGATGGCGAGTATGACCAACGAGAGAGGGGATCTCCAATGAATACCTAACCCCTCTTACTCAGGCTAATGTTACACATGCACACACTGCACCTGGCTTTTCTAACTTTTATGCAGGTACCTCTTATGGCATATGAAATTTCACTGAAGATATGATGAGAGAACAAAGAGAGCATGAGGAAGAGCATGATGGGTTATTCACCGTTATGTATGAGCAACAATAAGAAATGATGGAGTTTATGCACACATATCAGACTCATACAACAAGCTCTTTCACCCAGGTACAAGAAAATCAAGCGCAAATGGTTGACTTCCTTTGCCAGCTGCAAGATTCCAACACCGCACTAGCTACCTAAATTCAACAGCTTCATCTCTCTGATCGTTCCCACCGCACTAGGAGTTGCCGCCAACAACAATATTTTTCCAACTAGTAAGGAGGTAGTAGAGGCATGCATTAGCCTCATTTCAGTTGTGCTCGTCCTTTTTCACCTTATTTCAAAACATTGGGGACAATGTTCAGTCTAAGTGTGTGGGAGGTACTTTATCGCTTTTATTTATTGTTTTCTAGGTATATTTTATTATTATGTTTAGTTTCTTTATTTTAGTATTAATTAAGTCCAATTCATGTGATGTTGAGTCTTTTTGCGTAGTTTCCACTATTTATTTGACTTTCCCAGTTTCTTGAGCCATAACAAAAATTTTAATTTTGATCTGATGCATGACACGACACTCTAAGAGTATATATGTTGTTTTGCACTTTAGGCTATGATTGAAAGACTTGAGAAAAGTTTAATAAAATCAGTACCGTTTTGACACCCTAAACCCCTTATGTATGCAAGATCAATTTGAATACCTATTATGTCGAGACCTTAAGTTTGAGTTTTAAATTATCCCCGAGTAGTTTATATTAGCAGTCAACACCATCTTAAGCACTAACTATGTAGGGAGTCGATGAATATAAGTGAATGATCCAAAAAATTCTAAAAATTATTTTCCATAATAAATTCAAAATAGGGAATGCACCTATTAAGTTAGGTGACCCTCATCTGGTCACTTAATCCAATGGTGGTAGAACCTACAAAAATATAATAAAATAACTCGTTGTCAATTGGTTCAAAGGTATCTGGTGCTAAACTTGATAGGACAGACTACGGTCTGATCCCCCGCAACTGCGATTGGATAATGAAAGAGGTTACCAAACTTATGTACCAGAACCCCGAAACAAAGGATCACAATCACTAAATGATTTTCCCTACTATGTGTGTATGGATAAATGGCTTAATATGATTTCTATTGAATAAAAGTGGGTAAAATGAAACAAAAGAAATAGATCAAATTATAATAGAATGATTATGATTGGTGTGCATAGGGAGGGAGTTTTTATCACATTCTTTGATTTTGTGTCTCTACGGTACCCTTGGTGTTGATATTTAGTACATATCCTTCTGACTAAAGCCTCGCAACCACGTATGATTCGAGTCTTGTCATGTTTTTGTTTCAGACCCGTGTTTAGTGTGATTACCATACTGGTTATTTGTTTGAGGACAAGCAAAAGTTTAAGTATGGGGGAATTTGATAACGCGAAATCATATCGTATATTTGACTCGACTCGCATGAAATTTAGTTTAGATTTCCTCTGTTTATGTCTTGCTATGTCGATACTATTGTCTTATTTCAGGTATATCGAGCAAGTTGGTGATTTGACTAAAAAGAAAAATAAAATAAAATCAAGAAAAGTGGTGAAATGACTAAGAGGGGTGAAGTTATAACAAAAATGAGAATTTAAGGAAGCCCACAAAAATCTACAAGCTCAAGAGTGGCACTCACCACCTAGTGTGGCCCCTTCCATGCATGGTGGCGCCAACCACTTCCATTAAGTGGCGACTTCCATCCATAACGTGGCTCTTGCCACGTCCAATTCCTTAAGTGGTGCATGCCACCTACTTTTGTGGCCCCCGCCACAATGCAACTTCTCTTGGATTCTCGACGTGTTTCGTTTTTTTCTCTGATTTTATCTTTCAAACGCGACGGTTCTTAAATGCTCAGATTACTCAGATTTTCAAGGGAGGTTACGCTATAAATTGGAAGGGACACTATCAATTCGAGGTCGTCAATTTCTCTCCAGCCAGAACTTATTCTTAGATTTCTTTTTAGGAATTTAAATTCTCCACAAATAGTGATAGATCTTCCGCATCGGGGGACTATTGCAACCTTAGATTTAGAGTTTATTTTATGTTTTCAAATTATGTACCGAAGTACTTTAATCCTGCTGGCATAGTGGTGATTTTGTTCAAGCATTGTACGCGAAGTATTTTCCAGTTTTAATAAGAGTTAATTTTATTCCAGGTTCCATTTTACTTGCAGTTTTAGTTTTAATCCTCGTTTTAATTTTATTCCAACATTGTCATGTTCTTTGAAATAATATGATGTTTAATGTTTGTTAATCTTACTTGCATGTTAGTGTGTAGAACCATGTCCGACTAAGTAATTAGATACCGGTATGTAAAATTAGTCGAACGGAAGGGATTCGGAAATCTATTGGCGTTAATATTTACAAACTATTTTTCTGGTCTAGTTTCTAATTCTAATTAAAATTGCTTTGTACGAGAATAAAAAGCAAACAAAGGTTATAATCAATAAAGCGAGAGTTTGAGATTTTAATCTAATAGTAGAAACTAGACATTGATTTTAAACACAACGAGAGCACTTTAGGATTAATTAGATTTTATTGGTTTTTTAAAAAGTACTTTTAAATTCAAATGAGACAGCGAGAGCAAAGCATTATGGTTTAAGAGTATAGTCAGAGTCAATAACACGAGAGTGTGAGATAAGGTCTTTTAAGTCATTATTTTCTACTGAAAAATATTTTCACATTTAAAATACACCAATGATTTATCGAATCCCCGAAGTTTGATGAGTTGCATACCAATGTCCCGTCATTGATTATTTTTATTTGAATTTATTTTCCGTTTTCATCAAAACCTAAGATTAATCATTAGTCTTAGATTTACCTAGTAACATTAGATAACATTAGTTTGATTATTAGTCTCTGTAGGTTCGATATCTTTTAAAACTACACGATTAGACTGTGCACTTGCAGTCAGTAAATCTGATAGACTCTTAAAGTCACGATCATAGTACAACTATTTATGATAAAAAATAAAATATTTATAATTTAAAATAATTATAATAATAAACTAAATAGGTAAATACACTTATAAATTTTTTTACCTCTCTAATTCGGAGCCAAAAACTTTGATTTACTCAAATCATAAAAGACCTATCAATAGTAATTTATCTAAAACTCAAAACCATTGCTACATTGAAAAAATATAATTCTATAATATAATATATATTATGTCAACACGAGCCTACCCAAACAATCACAAATTACAATTATCGAACGAAAATTAGATGAACTTAGATTAAAAAAATATGAATTTTTGATAATATGAAATTAGATACGCAAACTAGGAAAAAAAATTAAAAATAACCAAGTTTTTAAATTTTAATACTAAACTAATTATCAACATTGAAGAAACAGAGCATGATAGTTCACTCCAAGAACACAAGCAAGGAGGAAGAAGAAGAAGAAGTTGTAACTAAATCAGTTACAGCATAACAGAATGGAATAGTAATGCGGAAGAATATTGAAAATATCATTCATTGATTAATTGATCAAAAGAGGTCCATACAAAGGTCTTATATATTTACAGGGTATCTAAACAGACCAATACAAAAAAGGACACGTGGCTCACTATTCTATCCATATAAACATATCTAAAATAATATACATATGCTAATGTCCCCCCTCAAGTTGGACTGTGTATGCTGTAGAGTCCTAACTTGCCCAATATAGTAGACAAAGCAAGAAAATGGAGAGGCTTTGTGAACATATCTGCCAGTTGAGCAGATGTGGAAATTGGAAACAAATGAAGAAGTTTAGACTGAATCTTTTCTCGAATAGCATGACAATATATTTAGATATGTTTACTGCGTTCATGAAACATTGGATTGTGAGATAAGTAAATGGAAGACTTGGAATCACAGAAAACTGCAGCAGGCTGAGGCAAGTTGACTTGGAAATCCTGCAAAATATATTGAAACCAATGTAGTTCACAAGATAGGGAGGCTAATGCACGATATTCTACTTCAGTTGAAGAGCGTGACACTATCTTATGTTTCTTAGATTTCCAGCACAGAAGAGAGGATCCTAGCATGATACAGTACCCTGTGACAGACCTGCGAGTATCTGGACCTCTGGCCCAGTCAGAGTCAGCATATGCTGAAATTTTGAGTTGACTAGAAGCAGGATAAAAGAGACCTTTAGCTGGAATCAATTTGAGATACCTAAGAATACGAACAGTAGCTCGGTAATGAGGTGTAAGAGGTTTAGAAACATACTGACTGAGGTGTTGTACATCATATGAGATATCAGGTCTTGAATTAGTGAGGTATATTAACCTGCCAATGAGCCTTCTATAAACAGAAGGATCCTCCAATGGCTGTCCTTCACTAATTGAAAGTTTAACATTTGGATCAAAAGGAACTGAATAGGGTTTAGATGCTAGCAATCCACTGTCTTCAAGAAGCTCCAGAGTGTATTTCCTTTGATTAAGGAAAATACCATCAGTGTTTCTAGCTATTTCAAAACCAAGAAAAAATCTTAGTTTACCAAGATCCTATATCTTGAAGGTATGGTGAAGGAACTGCTTGACTTGTGTGATTTCTGTCATGGA